TAGTTCCTCACACCAATCCAGACCAATGTCACACCTTTATGTGCTCTCCTCACGAAATTCGAAATCTGTCTGTTGGCCCGTGTGCTGTGAATTGAACAGAGATTCCCACCAAAGTGTCTACAGATTCCCTGTGGAACACAATGTAGATAAAGACAAACCAAGAATTAGAATTCAGTGAATTGAGCAAGAAGAGTCACACATTATATCCAAAGATGCAACTCCAAGTACAACTTTATTTTTTTTTTGCCTTCAAACTTTTAGGCACTACTTAAATAGACCCCCCTTGTATGGTATATCTAAAATTAGTGCATGAATATTGTTAACTGAATTAAGGATGTACCCTTAAACCGCAGACATCAAATTCATTATTTTCAAAAGTTATTTGCCAGGCACAAATGTTTATAAATAAAAGAGTAATAATTGCAATTGTTTTCATGTAGGTATCATCAGAAGAAATTTGACAAAGCTAAGTAATATTTTCTATACACGTCTATGATTATAGCTCATCCTGAGCCAATCACAGACAACTTCAGACATTCCAGCAGCTGCAAAGTAGAACTGTCATGTAAATAAGTCAATATGAACAAACAGATGTATAGACCACCCAGGTGCAGAAGTGCAAAATCAATGAAAAGGTAATCACCCCCTTTATAAGCGGCACAATATACCCAAAGGACTCCTCTCAATCCTCATACAAAACTAGAAAAACAAAATATACCTAAAAATATAAAATAGAGAAAGTACTTATAGGGTAGTAACGTAATATTAGATCACCCCGAGAGTTAAAGGTTGCACTCACAGAATGACTGAAAGTTCAGGCTCATCAATATATTGTTGGACCTGGACTGGGGATCATGAGAACGTATTTTATAATTTTTTACCTTGTAAGTGTGACAATTAAAGTGTATTTGTTATTCACAATCAGTATTGCACTATGGTTTCTCAATTTTTCTCCAGCCTGAACTTTCATATCTTATACATGTAAATAAGTCAGAATGGAAGATGTTTTCTGTCAGTGACCAAAAGAAAAGTTCCCACTGCATAAATTTTGTTGTCTTTTGATTAGCTAACTATAGTCAGAATTGTAATCCACTGCTATCATGCTGGTAAAGACTGATTATTGTGGTGATAGTTTGGTGGACTACATGCTCTTATTCACACATTGTGTGTATTATAAAACTTGCATTATATATAGATACAAATAAAAAAAAAACATATGAAAACCAGCAAGCACCAACCTGAGCTGTATGAAAATTACGATGATGGTAAAAGAATTTGTAAAATTTACAGTTATCACCCTCAGGACATATTTTGGAAACTGTGCCTTTATCAGATATCAGAACATCTTCCAGATGATCTTCAGATGTGTCTTGACTTAGAGTGGAAGGTTCTATATTGTTTTGGATTTCATAGTCTTCCTGACCATTATCACCTGAAGGCAAATTATAAGTCAAGTATCAGCTAAATGGTAGTAATAATAATAATAATAATAATACAAAACCGTATAACGTATAATATTATCTCAGTTTTCTTTTCAACTTACCAGACTCTTGAGTGGAGATAGACCCCACCAAACACAGCAACAACAGAAATGTACACATCCTGAACAGAAAATTAAATAAATGGTTACAACAATACATTTTAATATTTTTTTTCTGTTTTATTCAGTAATAATACTATTCTGACCTTCTCAGTAGCTTCTTGTTTTTTTTTTTTGTTTTTTTCTCGTAATCACTGGTGTCTATCTTTTTCAGGCATAGAATGTGTCCTTTTATACAGTAATTATGGGAAGTTGTGGTTTAACTATCCAAAAAAAGAAACATATCTATCTGATGATAAAAGACTTTGTGCAGTTATATCTGTGTTTAGACTTCTAGATAAAAACATTTCTGGTGAAAGAGGTAGATAATGAGCTTAAATTATCTGTGATCTTTATCATTATTTCTTAAAATGAACATTATAGAGTTAATAACGCAAATATGTATTTCTAACTCTATAGTCTTCTATATCTAGATTAAGGCTGCCCTAATTTAAATTTTTTTAATTACCTTTTCTTCCACTACTGAGACTCGCTCTATGTAGCAACCCAGTCCTCTGGTGACATCATTTTGCAGGTGTCACTTCGTTGTCTTCTCATCTAATCCAGTGCCATCCATTAACCCCTTTACGACACAGCTTCAGAAGCTTGTTTTACCCTTAAAGACACAAGCCATTTTTTGCTGTTTGTGTTCAAACGCAATTTGTATCTCTGTTGTTTAATGCACCAAAACATTTTATATACCGATTTTTAGAGGGCAAACAGGGCTTTAAGTTGATGTCACATATACGTAGATACATTCTCATTAATTATAAAAAAATGCCAAAAAAAACCCAAAAACCCCAACATTTTCCTCACAGATTTGGCAATAATAGTGTGTGCATAATATGTCCAGTAATTCAAAATAAATTAATTTATGTGTCTTGATTTATAGAGTACATCATATGTAGAGGATTTCAGCTTATTTTGAAAGTTACAGGTCACAAAATACAAGGACTAAATATAATTTCAATTTGCAAAAATTTTAGATGTTGATATGTTTGTCTTATAGGTTTCGTAGCCAATAGTTGAGCGGACACCTGGATGTTCGGGTCCGGCGGGTTCGGCTGAACTTCGGAAAAAAGTACGGGTTCGGTAATGAACTTGACCCCAAACCCCATTGAAGTCAATGGGGACCTGAACTTTTGGGCACAAAAATGGCTCTAAAAAGTCCTGGGAAGGGCTAGAGGGCTGCAAAAGGAAGTAAAACAAGTGCCCTGCAAACAAATGTGGATAGGGAAATCACTTAAAATAACATAAAATACATAAAAATTAAAAATACAGCTGAGCCATAAAATAGCACTAGATGGAGTCTTTGATTTTAGCTTTGATAGAACATCAAAGCATGGCTGTCAGGAGGATCACCAGAATTATCCATTTGAGAGAGGGTTGGAGTGCAGGGTATTCTTTCATTGTTCAAACTGAGCTCAACTCCTGATGCATGGAGAAAAGGCCTTCACAAGCCTCTGCTGTTGTGTACATAGTTTATACTAAGTGACCCATAGGTTGAGGAGGCGGTGACCGTGGCGGTGTAGGTGGAAGCGGCGGTGGAGGAGGAGGTAGCCAACACTGTTTTTTTTTTTTTTAATTGGGGTAGCCCCCAAAATATTGGGTCATATAAAAAAAGAAACATTTGTGGCCTGCGGTGCATTTCTTGTAGTCCAATAACGCCATCAGGTTTTTAAAACTGTCCGTCTCCACCAGATGGAATGACAGCATTTCAAAGGCCAGGAATTTTGAAAATTCTGGCATTCAGGGCCAGGTATCGCGGTGGTTAGGGAGGTACTTCCTCTTTCTCTCCAGTGTTTGGGAGATGGACAGCTGAACGCTTCCATGGGACAGCGAGGAGATGCTGGACAATTGTGTACCTGGCCTATGCTGGTGCAGGAACCCACCCTCCGAGCCACTTGTGAATGACTGGCCTGATAACCGTGGAAATGACCCCTCTTCCTCCTCCTCTTCCTCCTGTGCCACATCCTCTTCCATCATCGCCAAATGCGTTTTTTTTCAAGGAGACATAAAAGCGGGATAGTAAGGCTGAGAACGGCGTCAGCGGCACTGGCCACGTTGGTGGAGTCCTTAAAAACAGCGCAACATGGCACACAGGTCTCGCATGGAGGCCCACTCATTGGTGGTGAAGTGGTGCTGTTCCGCAGAGCGACTGACCCGTGCGTGCTGAAGCTGAAACTCCGCTATCGCCTGCTGCTGCTCGCAGTCTCTCCAGCATGTGCAAGGTGGAGGCGGTGAGCGGCAAGGCCGAAGTTGCGCTGCAGCGCAGACAGGCGAGCAGCAGCAGGGTGAGAACGCCAAAAGCTCGCACAGAATGCCCGCACTTTCTGCAGCAGCTCTGATATATATGGGTATACCCCTTGGCGGTGTAGGTGGAAGCGGCGGCTGTGGAGGAGGAGGAGGTAGCCAACACTTTTTTTTTTTTATTGGGGTAGCCCCCAAAATATTGGGACATATAAAAAAAGAAAAAAAAAGAATAAGTGCACTTGAGTATAACAATGGCTGGGTGAGGCCGGTATAAATGTCTATTCTGCACAAGGTACAGACAAGTTTGGTGGGATCCATGCCCGGTTAATTTTAATAAACGTGAGCTTGTCCACGTTGGCCATGGACAGGCGGCTGCGCTTGTCTGCGATAACCTTGTGCATTCGGATGTCTGCCCTATTAACTTTCGATGCAATTTTCCGCACCTACCATGGTGACCACGGGTAACGGGGAATCAGGGTTCGATTCCAGAGAGGGAGCCTGAGAAACGGCTACCACATGCAAGGAAGGCAGCAGTCTCTCAAATGACCCATTCCCGACGCGGGGAGGTAGTGACGACAAATAACAATACACTACTCTTTCGAGGCCCTGTAATTGTAATGAGTCCACTTTAAATCCTTTAACTTGGATCAATTGGAGGGCAAGTCTGGTGCAGAGCGACTGACCTGTGCGTGCTGCAGTTGAAACTCCACTATCGCCTGCTGCTGCTCGCTGAAGCTGCATCAGGGTCCTGGTATGTGGCCACACAAATGCTGGTGCTCAACACCAGGGGGCGTGCGGTTACCCTGCACCAGACCCTGCTAATCCATTCCACACTGTGACTCCTAACTTCAACATCAGGCATACTGGGTCCCGGTCGTCCGACCGCCGCCCAGACAGTGTCTGGGTCCCGGTCACCGGACTGTGAAACTGCGAATGGCTCGTTAAATCTGTTATGGTTCCTTTTATCGCTCCATCTGTTACTTGGATAACTGTGGGAATTCTAAAGATAATACATGCCGACGAGCGCTAGGGGACGGCTGCTCTGCTTTTGCACCCTGCTCCCTCTTGTGCTGGTGCCTCTGTGCGACCAGCGCCTCTTCCTCTTGTTTTGGTGTTTGGTTTTTTGGTGTTTGGTTTTTAACTTTGTAGTTGTGTCTTTACACAATATAGAAATATATATTAATCCTTCTGTATATGAAGCGATCACAATAACACTTATTTTTCACTTTTAAAAAGTCTTTAGACTTTCTTGAGAAGTGGTAACTAGCCAGTGTTGCACACATACACCAGATATGAAATGCACACCCCAAATGTACTATTTAGCAGCCAAAAAATTTGAATTTTTAAAACTGCGCTGTAAGCACAGTATTTGACGGTTTTATTTGACTCTCAGATATGAAGTGCAGGCCCCAAATGTACAATTTAGCACCTAAAGAATTCAAATGTTTTAAAATGCGCTGTAACCACAGTATTTGACGGCTCTATTTGACTCTCAGATATGAAGTGCATGCACCAAATTGACTTTTTAGCACCTAAAGAATTCAAATGTTTAAAATTGCGCTGTAAGCACAGTATTTGACGGTTCTATTTGACTCTCAGAAATGAAGTGCACCGCATGCCGCAAATGTACTATTTAGCAGCAAAAAAGTTAGTTTTTTTTTAAACCAACAATGTAACAGTAGTATTTAAGGGTTTTATTGGACTGCAAGAAATGCAGTACGCAAATGTACTATTTAGCACCAAAAAATTGCAGTACTTAAAAATGCCTAGATGTTGCCCACTGAGCTACCAGAACAGGATTAAAGTAATGTGCCTGACACACTTGCAGTTGCAAGTGTACTGCACTCTCTGTGGCACTGGGCTCAGGGCAGGGTACAAAAAATGTAGTATTATAGCACCCAAATAATCGCTGTAGTTTGAATAATCGCTGTAGTTTGCAGATTCAACACCAGAATTCTTTCCCTCACAGCTGCAGCATCCTCTCCCTACACTAATAAGAGCTCATGTGCGTGCGGCGCTACGCGACTCCAGCTTATATATAGAGGCTGGGCCACATGCTGTACTGGCCAATCACAGCCATGCCATTAGTAGGCATGGCTTTGATGACTTCTAAGGGCACACGAGTGCCCTGCAGCCTTTCAAAACGGGCCATTAAATCGCTGAACACCGAACTCAAACCCGAACATACACTGATATGTCCGTGTTCAGGTCCGGGGTCCAAAAATCATAATTTTCGGTACGAACCCGAACTTTAGAATCCGGGTTCGCTCAACTCTAGTAGCCATCACAGAAAAAAAAATTGCCACACAAAAGTATATATTTATATATAAAAGACATCACAGGTTATTTACCTAAGGTTATTGACACTTTTTACGTAGCCATTTCATCGCCAATCTCTGCTAATTATTGAAGTAAAATTGTGTTTTTTCTATTTTTTTGGCATATACACCTATAACAAGGTTTTTGTAATGTGTATTTTGTAAAGCTGGTGTGTTCTCTTCCTGCACAGAACCCCATATTGTGTTCAGCTACATCTGCTGAGTATAATGATACCCCCATTTTATGCCTTTGGCACTATTCTGTAAAGCTGTAAAGCTACAATGCCATATAAGAGATAAGGCTATTTC